TGGCTCACCAATGAAAATGCCACAGGTATTCGGAGTTTGACAACGCTCTAACCAGTAAAACCTTCTAATACGAAGCGCACCCACCAAGTAAAATCAAAAGACAGAAGTGATGAGATCGAAGATATATTTGATAAGCTATCAATATATCGAGGATCGTTTGCACTAATCTGGCTAACGATTGCGGCAGATGTTGAGCACGGCGTTTACACACGTGATCTGGTGCGGATGCTTGATCGAGCGCCTTCAGCTAGATGAGTCCACTAAAACTGTGGTCAGCATCCAATGTCAAAAACTTACAGAGCTATTTGATTTTGGGGAATTATTTACCGCTACAACATGAATGCTGAGGATTTGTTGACCAACATCAGTCTCTTGACAGATCTTTAAAAAACGTTGTCAGCAAATCTGAAAAAGGGAGTCCTAAAACGGATAAGCGAACAACGACGCTCAGTGAAGAAAAGAAGAGGGTCGTCACCAACGTTAGTATCAGTGGAACAGACACCAACACTAGTGAGGATATGCCGAAGCTCAGCATCATCATAAAATCGACGTTTCTAGACTCTCAGCAAACCTGGGTCTCCCGGCATAGGCTGTGTAAATGGGACTGTGGTCCCCCAAAACTCTGTGGGCTATTGAACCAACGTCACCAAAGTTAAAAAGGACCCCATGTCACCGTCTAAAAAGCAGAACGGCCCAGGTGTTTTAATGAAATCAACTAGTAATTTGGCCGTACAACCAGCCAGAGAAGAGCACTTCAATTACCAAGCAAAAAGAATCCAAATCTGAACGTAAGGAAAAACTTAGAAAAATGATCACGGTTCGTGATTATTTCTTCATAACCATGAACTTAAAATACAGCTCTGATCTTTCTCTCAATCTAAGGAACAAAAATTAAAGGATGCCCTTGAAAAATTGAAGTAGGAAGCTCAAACTTCCCTAAATAGAGCTACTGACGGTTACACGGCTAACTGAAGAGAAGGACTCTAAGCACCAAAATTACCCAAGACTCCTTCGTATAGCGTTCTACTGCGGACGAAAAGTATGCTCTAATGGCCAGTCAATTTTCGAAATCAGATGAGAATGTAAGAATACTGCCTGATACACATTTTTCTGAGCAGGATTTCATCAAAAACATTCCTAAGAAGTCTCGCGAAACGTTCTTTGCGGAAGAAATATCATTGTGAAAGGAAAAACATCCCCTGGCTACGGAGACTTTAGTATTTGGGAGTGGAAATCCATCAAGCAGTCCTTGAAGCTCGAAAATATATTGACTGAACAAGTGGTGAGATTAACAACGAGGGCTGCAATTCTAGATCCCGGCTGATGAATGTAACCTTCGCATACTCCTACATTGTGACTGCCAATCTTGAAGCATTTCGTGCCATCAGACTACTGTTGCATACTAGAATATACATGCATCTGGATATGCCACATGATGCCAAGATCAAGCACAAAAGCAAATAGAAACTGACCATTCCACTTGCACACTATCAAGATCATGAAAAAACGTAAATAGGACGGTGGCTATCAACTCGTAAAACCTTATAAAGAACCTAATCATTCACATAAGGGTCAAACGGGTGAATAGAATAGGAAGTCCTTCGCGTTTCAAATTGAAAGTATAAATTGCTTATATATGAACATCGCGAGTTTAACACATAATGTTTTAGCTGCGCGGACATAGTAACGCTAATAATACCCATCTGGTAAAAATATCTGAAACATGGATATCTTCTCAAATCATAATTTGCAATTTCTTATTTAAATTCATAATTCATAGTTTGTTCTCAAGTAACAATATGTTACATGAGGCATACCAGTTCACAGGCAAGGTCAAATTGTTACATGTTACACAGGTTTTACAGTAATAAGTTACCCAATTGGGTTGACATTTTACAAAGCACACTGGTCATAGAACAAGGAGAATAGCACTTCTCACATATGAATGTAAATAATGTTAGTAAGACCTAGATGGTCAACATGAGTGTTGGCGCTCTTTATAAATACTGCGTCTTTGACGTGCAACTGATAGCCAACAACAAATCTGCGTGAGGTTGAAAGCTTCTGGAAATCTCAGCATCATATCCTTCTAGAACATCTTTGACATTAATGATGGCGCAGAAATAAGTCATCCGTTTCATATGTTTTCGGTTGCATATTACTAGGGGACTGAGAAGAAGTACAGACGATGTTTATGCCTATTGAAGTTGAATCATTTGTGATCGGATAATAAAGATATGACTTATTTGACCTGTCTTCTAATTAAGTCAATTTTTAAGCAAGAGCATCATAATAAGTCAAAGAAAACAGGCCAATTTATGATAATGAATGGTTAAGAACTGTAAAAATAGAGGTGGTGTAAAATAAGCCGAATGTATGGGATTGCGTGAAGTTTCAAAATATAGCACAGAAAACAGTATTCGGATACGCAAATGGCTCTCTCCTTCTTGTCTCTGTTTTTTCATCGACGCTATTTCAACTCATTTTTACATTTATAAATTTTGTAGGATCATACGTGGGCTTTATTTCAGCGTAATTGTCCCGTTTTACTTGTATTAGGTTTCTTCGGTAGGAAGTGAAACCTATTCAAGTTTACAAACATGAGTCGAAGAGGCAATTTGCATAATATACGCTTCAATGCCATTGATTAGGTATATCCCGCTAGACTATAAGGAGCCGTAATTTAACAAAATGTTCTGCCCTATAGGCATAAATAGATTGATGTTCTCTCCCAATCATCGTGTTTACTGGTCACTAACTCCACTCTCCCTCCTCTTGTGACATTAGGTTTTCTAACATCTGTGGTATGTATGAATATTACTTTGACCTAAGTTCCATGCTGAACACCTCGTTGGAATACACTGGCCCTGATAGTTCCATGTTACAAGAAAATCAGCGATTTTAAGCTTTTATATTGTGGGTTAGATTTCCATTTAGTATATCACACTGCTATGAAGACAAATAACAGTATATGTTATAAAATACTGGTCAGTTTATATGTGGTTTAGAGATGAATATATGAGAAGAGTTTAGGATTGCAAGATTTCAGAGTAAAACGATAAGTGAAAAAACCAAAAGTTAGAAGGAACTCATAAGAATTTGGGTTATTATGAAGTTCTCATGATCAGCCAAGGGACACGGAACTTCTCAGCAAAAGCGATATGTCTTTCAGCATTATTGTTTCTTCAGAAATGCAATAATTCACAAGTTTCAATAATGTTGGCACAATATTTTTCAGATAATAAAATATTGAGTTGACTAAAATGAAGGAAATGGTGAAAACAAGGGAATAAAGATGAAGGAGATTAGGAATCTTAATATGAGGGTTAGGAACATAAGGGCATGATTAATAATGAATGAAGAATGGAACAAGGGAAACTATGTGTTTCATTTTTGGTTAAACCTATATTAATGACAATAGTTGTCCGTTATATTTATAATCGGCCTAGATAGTGGGAGGTCCATACCAAAATATTTTCAACACTTCACCCTTTATATGCACACTCCCTTCTAATAAACAACTTTCCCTGTACCAACCTTAACTTCCCTTCCTTCATATGAGCTTAATCCAACTTGTTAAACATCACAATTCATTGTTCTTTATTACTACATTCTCTTGAATGGAGCCTCTGACTTTATTTCACTCTAACAAGAGATAATATGAATTTAATCTAATTTATTATACCTTTGTCTGTTCTACGTAATGTTAAGCAACGTTTGGAGTCCATATCCAAGTGCCTTGTTGCTCTGCTGTTTCTCTTTTTTATTTTCTTCAGAATCTTGCTCCGAGGGCACAGCTATAAAACTTCTAACGTCTGGAACAAATTTGACATAAGCGTCAACTCAAGGCCATGGCTTATAACAAGCGCTCTACGAGACTACTTTATAACAACTATAAACTTAATAAGTTAGGAAGCATGCTATGCTCCAACTAATGTTATAATTTGTAGATCATGCCTGTAAAAATGGCGTGTACCTGCTCATGCAGAAATATATTATTATTATTATTAAGGGAAACTATGTGTTTCATTTTTGGTTAAACCTATATTAATGACAATAGTTGTCCGTTA